AAATAATGATTTAAATACTTGCAATCATCAATTTATCTACAGTATTGTCAAACACAATGAAAAGCTAATGAACGCAATGTTATAACAAATACTGTATTATTATTAACAATACTGTATGTCTATAATTGAAACAATTACAGATAATATATTAATAAGACATTATTTTATTACTATTTGAACTACACATTTAAAATAAAACTCTTTTTATATCACATATCATATGAATTTGAGTTTATGTTAAACTGTAAGCTAATGGCACTCATGAGATACAAACGTAAATATATAAATGACAAAACTTAACACAGTTTTACTAAATATTTGTTCACGACTCATTCAATATATGAAATCACTGTTTGACACAAAAGTATTTAAATTTTTTACAATTTAAAAGTCTTTTGTTTGTATTATGAGATTAAAACATATGATAGGAAGCGTTGGTAAAAGTATATATTTACGACATATTCCCGCAATATATCCTCCCATTAGTTTATTATGTATTTTATATAATTCCGGCAATATTACAATTACTAATATATAGGTTAATCTAAATTATATAACCATCTGTGAACCATATAAAGATTTAGTGTAACATGAATATTTTTAAATGATAACAATCCTATATAAAATACATAGTCTAGCTCACTAATTATGCACAAAATAACTTGTAAATCTAATTTATTTGAAACCATGTACTTATAAATATATTTAACTGCAACTTCTCCTACCAAGTGGTCACTATAGGTAACACAAAACATTTATTTCATAAATACACAAAAATAGTTACAAATAATTGCATTATAATGTCCCCCATTACATTGACCATATATTATATTAAGTACCATATACAGTACAGTAACCGAAAATAAATAATATTAATTTGCCACAAAAATGAGTAACATTATTTGTGACCAGTGCCACTAAGTGTTTACATTGCAAACCTAAACAATTATTTGGACTCATATTGTTGATTGCATTTGAAATTGAAACCACAAAAAAGTTTTTATAATATTTGCTTTTAACCATATAATATATTACAAAGTGGTTCATTAGCAGCGAACATGACAATCAACTGATGGATACCATGTGTTTGTAAATCGTTATTAACATCATAACAATCATAACAACGAGTGTTGAGGTAATCATCGCTTTTAATCACATATTGAGTACAATTCACTCAATGCATGCAATTATATAATGCATACATTATTCATGCTGTATGTGTGCATATTTAATTAGCATGGCTAATTGTGTACCCCCTGAGAGGGTACACTATATGATTGACAAGGTCAATTTGACATGTATATGACAATCACAAATAACTCACAAAACTATTTGTATGGACAGGTATCTGACAACCCCTTTGCCCTCAATGTCACAACCAGTAAAAGCGGACGATTCACAGCCATCAGTGTCGGGCACCGGTAGCTGCAAATACTGCGCCAAAAGCCACGGCGCCGGTAGTATCGGTAGTATCTCGAGCTGCAGCGGTGGCGGCGCTGGCCATGGATTTCACGAGCAGTCGATCGACAACTCGGTGAAAGTGCTCGAGAAGATCGCCGGTCTGTACGCCGAGCGCCTCCTATCGGACATCGTGTTGGAGGTG